AAAGAAAGAAAGAAAGAAAGAAAGAAAGAAAGAAAGAAAGAAAGAAAAACATTTGATGTAATCTGAATTCCTGGACACATATAATAAAAATAGAAATAAGTATATTAAATCAGAAGCTCTGTCTCTTAAAAGTTTTTATTAGACTATTTATATCTGATGAGGTGTGAGAAAGATATCTCATTAAATTGTCCCTATTAACTAATTTTTTAGTTCCTGCCCTGCCCTACTTTCAGTTTGGAGAAACAGAAATTGCATGAAACTGAAAATGGGGGGGGGGGGAGGAAAAACTTGGTTAAACTTAGTAATCCCAACATTCGGTAATATGGAGTCTAGAATATTTAGAAAAATTGAATTCATTTTACGTGAACCTGTTCTTCTTTTTTTTTTTTTTGTCTTAATGATGTGCAGGAACGAGTTCCAGACAGTCCTTCCCCTGCTCCATCTCTCGAAGACGGTCGAAGGCCTGGTAGCCATCCATCCTCACATCGTAGCAGCAGCGTATCCAGCTCCCCTGCCCGAACTGAAAGCTCTTCAGATAGAATCCGTAGGTTGCTGGGTATTTCCTTTTGCCACCCCTGTTTCAAATCCCTGCAATAATAAATGTGCCCTTTGCTATCACTAACATCTCCATCATGATCATCATCATCATCTTCATTTAATGACCCCATAATCCTTTGTGAGGTGGAGTCTGGACAACTGAATGTAGCTAACAGAGTGTTTTAGTGGCCAGATGCCTTTCCTGTCACCAATACGGAGTTTTGTTCAGCGGATATATTCTCAGTGTGCCCAGAGAGAGAAATATCTGCCTCTGCCTAGGATCGAACTCAGAGCCTCCTGACTGTGAGGCGAGAGCCCCATCTCTAGGCCACCCCATCACTCCTATCACTAACATCTCCATCCTCCCCATAAAACAGTGTGGGACTGATTCAAAGTAGAGTTCCCTTTTGTTGGACTCCAAATACAGAAAGCAGGCAGAGAACACGAATCAGCATCCACTCCGTTTTTCTCCCCACCCCTCCAAGGAGAGAATGGAGAGACAGTGTAGTGGCCTGTCTCCTGACCCCCTAAAGGTCACCCCGTTCCACACACAAAGGATGACAGTTCCACCCATGTTGGAGTAAGCATTTGTCCAGTGATTTGCAACCCAAAAACAAAACCTGAGGGAACTCTGAGGTCGGAAACTATATCAGAAGAAGTTAATTGCAAAAATAAAAAATAAAAAAAAATTGTGAACACAATTAGTGAAATCCTGCCCTGAAATCCAAACTTCCTCATTGCAATTTCCTTCCTGCATTTAAAGCCCCAGGTGAACTGGGAAGATTACCTGATAATGGGGTGGGAATTATGGCATTAGGCATCTTTCCCAATAACTATGTTAACAGCTGTATATTGCCTTGATCTCTATGTGGAAGAAGAAGACATGTAAGCAGGGGTGGGATGCTGGGGGTTAACGGGTTCAGGAGAGCTCCTAGCTAAGATTCTATGCAGTTTGGAGAACCCTTAAATCCCACTTCTGGCTGGCCTGACCCACCCCACCCCGCCTCTCCCAGGAGTCCCCCGACAGCCCATTTTGGATGCAGGTAAGTGCAGGGCATGCACAGAGGCTCACGTAGGGTAAAAAATGGGCCACCCGGAAGTTCGGGAGGGCCAGAAATGGGACCGTTTCCATCTTCCAGAGAGCCTCCGGAGTCCCGGGAGGCTGTTTTCGCCCTCCCAGAGGCTCGAGAAAAGCCTTCGGAGCCCGGGGAGGACAAAAATGCCCCTCCGCTGTGGTGCAGGAGGCTGACTAGGCCATGCCCACCATAGCCACGCCCACCCAGCAACCAGGCAGAGAATCCCTTGCTAAAAATTTTTGAAGCCCACCCCTGCCTGTAAGTTCTCAACCAGACCTACAGAAAAGGCATCTTCAAGGAGAAGCTTCTAAAGTTCTTGGGGTGGCCAGCAGGCTGCCAGACAGAAAAACTGAGGAGTAACGTCTACTTTGAACCAAGGAAGTCAGTTTGACCCAGAACAGCAACAGTTCGAAACAAAACACCCATTTTGCTTGTTGTTTCAATTAAATCAGAACAGAGTTGACTCATCTCCTTGAAACAGAGACCATCCTGAGACCAATCGGGGTCAAAAGTCGGTTGTAAAGCAAAACAAAACAATGATGGAGAAAAAGGATTTCTGCCTTTCCCAGCAAAAAAAAACAAAAACTATTTCTCTGTACTTGCAGTCTCCAATGTCATTTTCAGGCTCCAGAGGTAGTGATGATAACAGAGAATATACAGTATATTTATAAAAAGAGCTTTATTTAAAAAAAGAATAGAAACATTGCCAGGCTGAGACCACAGACTTGTTTTAGCTGTGATTTATGTTTGATCCAACTTCTCAATTCCTTTTCATTTTTATAGGCCTAGAAAAAGAGAGGGGAGATAACATTTCCTTTTAATATAAATTATTATTAATTTAATTTACGTTTGGAGTACTTCTCAGACAAATCTGAGTTTCTTTGTTGCTTTAAAAAAACAAACACCTAGCATTGTTGCTGATGTATTTGGCTAGCAGATATAAACAAAGATCCTTTTTAATCTTTATATGTGCTGCATGACTTCAGAAATCATTGCTTAACATAGGGGAAATCTTTTATTTTTCTTCTGTAAAAGGATATTAGCACTGGGTGACTTTGTGGCTGCCCATTTATATAAGCTTTTGCCTCGTCCCATTTTTTTTTTAAAATAGCATAACATTCTCAAGTTTGTTCTTTGCTCTATTTTTCAGTTCTTTGAAAAGTAAAATGAATACCCTCTGACATGCACTTTAATAGGTTCCATGAGCTTGAGCATTAGTGTTATTATTTAAAGAAAGCAACGCGTTGTATAGACTTTTGAATTTGAGGAAGTGGTGCTTATGGTAAGTAGAGCATTAAAAGGAAAGTTCAGGTTATGCATAAATGCATCACTTGCTTTCGTATCACTCAGTTACTGTTTAAGACAATTGGTTTGATCCTCAGTGACATGCTTACCTACGCGAGGCACTAAACAATAGGCATTGTCATCAAATGATAATAGTTATGTAAAGAAGGGAGCAAGGGAGCAGCTGCAAAAAATTGCACGTCTGTCCCATTTCTTATGGAACATGGTTTAATTTGTTTCACGTTTTCTTATGGAGAGAGATACCTTTTTCCTAGAGTCTTTAGTGCTTTAGCACAAAATTGCCTTTAGTGCTTCTGAAAATCTGCAGAGGGTAAAGAAGAAGGGACTGGAGGCTAAAACATCTGCAGAACGGTGGCAGGAATTGGGTTGGTCTGGTTTAATGAAAAGAAGGGCTAGCAGGTGTTCCAATGTTCCAGTGTTTTCTGTGGTTGAATTTGAGAAAAAAAAAATCAATTGGAAACTCAAGAGAAAACCACTGGATAATTTATTGTAGCTTCTTGTTAAAAAAATTAGGAGAGAGAAAATGAGAGAGAGAGATATCCAGGGAGTAGTGGGAAGCCCTTTGGAAAAAAGAAGAAGATGCAACCCCACGTATATTTATCGTTTAATTCAGGGGTCTTCAAACTTGACAGTTTTAAGACTTGTGGACTTCAACTCCCAGAATTCCTCCTCCAGTCATATTAGCTCAGGAATTCTAAGAGTTGAAGTCCACAAGTATTAAACTTGCCAAGTTTGAAAATCCTCGCCTTATTTAAAATTAATGTGCACTTACATCTCCTTAGAGAACTGGAGGCTAAAACATATGAAGAACAACTGTAGGATCTGGGTATGTCTAGTTTAATCAAAAGAAGGACATGATTGGTGATATGATAGCAGTGTTCCAATATCTCGGGGGTTGCCGCAAAGAAGAGGGAGTCAAGCTATTCTCCAAAGCACCTGAGGGCAGGACAAGAAGCAATGGGTGGAAACTAATCAAAGAGAGAAGCAACTTAGAACGAAGGAGAACTTTTCTAACAGAACAATTAAACAATGGAAGAACTTGCCTCCAGAAGTTGTGAATGCTCCAACACTGGAAGTTTTTAAGAAGAGATTGGACAACCATTTATCTGAAATGATATAGGGTTTCCTGCCTGGGCTGTGGGTTGGACTAGAAAGACCTCCAAAGTTCCTTCCAACTCTGTTTTCTGTTAAGAAAACAGTTGCTACCACCCAGAAGAATAAGCGTCTTTCCCATCAAATATCAATCCTACATTTCTGATAGATGATACACCTTGAGCAATTTTTTATTTGTTCTAACATATTTTTGTAGACTGCCCTCAGGTGTGTGCATCCAAATATTATGAACAACCAAAAAATGTGCAGTAACAATAATTTATTAAACCTGTATGCTACTTAACTTTCAGTGACTCTGGGTGGCTCACAACAAACCAAGAAATTACAATCAAATCAATAAAATGTTAAAGAAAAAAGATGGCAAATACCACAAATGGAGTTTGATTGTTTTTGTAGTCCCCCTCCCCCCAAAATGACCTGTTGAAATGAAGTGTCTTCATCATGGTCTCTGATTGACAAATGAGAGTTGTATGTCTGGTTAATAGGCTCCGAGGATACAGAACATGTCCAGGACAAATCTTGACTGCTACTTAGGAAGCAAACCTAAAATAAACCTTAAATCATTAACTAACTTGTGCTGTTGCCTTTTTACACATAGAGGAGTACTTCCTGCTTCCTTAACTATGTATATAAATCAAGTTGCAGCCTTTACAGTGAGATAGAAAAGATCATGGAGTGAGATGATACAAAGATGGGGTATACACAATGTGGAAAGCGGGAATTTCCCCGGCTATTTCTGTGTCTTACAGGGTCAGTTAATTCATATGTTGGAAAACAGAAAGCAATTTGCAAATCCTGTCATTTCTTTTTAAAGGAAGAGGCAAAGTGTTTGGTCAGTTTTGCTCTAAGTGAATAAACTCATTCTGTACAAAATTATACGTCTGTACACTAACAGTTGAATATCTAATTTATACTCCATTTCCAACAGGGAGAAAATGACCATGTTTGTCTAGTGTAAATCGCAACATCCAACTTACGAAAGGCCAAGCACCTTTATAAAAATAAAAGCAGTCCCTAAACAAAAAAATAACAAAGACCAATCACATTGTTTCAATTATATTATGAAGCAAATGTATGGGTGTCTATTGAGGAATCAGTCCTGTGGTATTTAAAAGCGCCTTGCAGCTTTGTAAAGGGTTGCTTCTGAATTGAGCTACAGCTGTGCTGAAGGCAGAGCCCTTGAATTTTAAGAGCCAACTCTCAGGCAAAGATTGAGTAGGTTGTTCTCTTGGCTTAGGGCAAAAAAGATGATATGCCTTCTAAGCTATGAATTAAAGCACAAGAAGGGTAGGTGGAGCATGAAAAAAAGAAGAGTGGTAAACATGAAAGGGGAAAAAAAGGAAAGAGGAAAGGAAAGCAATAAAGGGAAGGAAAGGAAGATAGAAGAAGGAAAGGAAAGGAAAACCAGAGAAGAAAAAGAGATAAATATCCTTCTGCTACTGCCTTTTAGGGTCTACCCTTCCTTTGCTACAGCTGAAACCCTAATCAATCAACCACAAGTCTTCTTGGTTTCCCAACTAAGTACCCTACTGATCTGTCCTCTTTCCTCCCTCTGACCCTGTAGGACACAGTGAAAAAGTGTCAAATATTTGAATTTCCACTATTTAAAGTTGATGGACAAAGGATGCTTACATTGTACTAATGCACAGTCATAGAAATTAAGAAAAGAAATAGAAAGCTCTTGGTTTATTAAGGCATGAAACTGAGGAATAAAACTTCTTATCTATTGGGAAAATTCAAGGATCAGAAATTATGACCTGGGTAGGCTTGGTCATTGGGTGGTTTGGTGAGAACTTCAGACTCTTCCATAAATAGACACAAGGGACAATGAAAGTCAATATTTCCCAGCTGACGTTGAATGTCTCAACTGTAATATTTTGTTCTTTGTTCTTCCCCTGCGTTTGCTAACAGCTGTTCATCAGAATGGCCTCTCCATGAACCAGATGTTGTTGGGCTTATCTCCGAACGTCTTACCTGGTCCAAAAGAAGGTGACCTGGCTGGCCACGAGGGTGGGCATGACTCCAAAAGAATGCACCTGGAGAAAGGTAGCGTGTGGATTGAAGTTGTTGTTTCATTACACTCCGATTGGAAGCGATGCTTTTCTTCCATTCATATTCTGTTATCATTTGAGCGGTTCACAACCAAACGACATTAGCGCAAAGGAGAGAGCAAGCACTCACTTCCTGTCTCTATCAAAAGATAACACGACTTCTCTTGCACGCTGGTGTAGTACATTAATTATGGCAACAATGGAGAAAATAAGTGGCAGGAATTATTCGACAGTGTTGTTATGAATAGAAGAAAATGATTAAAATCTCACAATGAAATTCATATAGGAGAATGGCAGCCCTTATCTTTTCCACTTCTCAGATGCTTATTCTTTAGGAAATATAGTATTCAGACATTATTTTTTCCATAATTGGGGTGGATCTGAGGTTGATCAAAGAAACAAGTCACTTAAATTCAGCCGGTGTGAGCTAACCGTGGATGGCCATGTGTTGGGAAGGAAGAGAAGCTTAAATTGCTTTGCTCCCGCAACTGCTAATAGTGTAAAACGAGACTGGTGGATTTCATCTAATTTATTTTAAATTTAATCAGCCATCCGACAGAAAATATGTGAGCAAGATTAATGTATATTAGGACTTCTGTTGATTATTATGCTACCTTATTTGGATTGTACAGCCCTGAGATGCTTTTTTTTTCTCTGATGGAAATATTAACCAACATCTTTCTACATAGAAAACATTACAGTTGTACAGATTGAGAGGCTAATTTTGTGGGTTTGATATACAGATCTCTTTAAACAACCTCTGTGTACTAAAAGCAAAATCAAATAATAGGCGGCCAGCTGAAATGCAACAGCTTGCTAGCGGTGTAAAGGAAAAACTCCGATAACTAAGTGTTTCAGTGTAGAATTTCTCTAGCAATAAAGAACTGAAATGAGGGTGTTTTGTGGTCCAAATTAATCAATACAAAAAGAAATTAAATAATAATAATCCAGATCTGTCTTGTGCAACTACTGCGAGATATGGAAAGAGAATTAAAATCTGGACACTTTCATTCTGGACAGGTGGCATTTTTAATAAGATTACACTAAAAATTAATGAGAACAACATTTCTTTTATACAAATCATTAATTTTGGTTCATTGCACACACAGCCTGCCGTGGCTCCTTGCTTGCTTCCCGGCTACACACAAGCACTTAAATCCTACAAAAATGTTATCCAGTCATTGAGCAAGTGATATAAAAGTGAGTTGTTTTCATTTTCAGGAGGACGGTTTGGCTTCGGCCCATCTACATTTAAATACAAATACACGGTCAAGTTAGAATAGACTCCCAGTGAAACAGGATTTCCAACGAAAGTGTTTGCTTGGTAACCATTTTAAAAAGTGTTTCAATTAAATCATGTATTAACATAATTAGCCAGGGAAGGAGAGGGGGGGAGGGGAAGGGAGGGAAGGGAAGAGGAGAGCAAGGAAGGAAGGAAGGAAGGAAGGAAGGAAGGAAGGAAGGAAGGAAGGAAGGAAGACAGGAAGGAAGACAGGAAGGAAGGAAGGAAGGAAGGAAGGAAGGAAGGAAGGAAGGAAGGAAGGAAGGAAGGAAGGAAGGAAGACAGGAAGGAAGGAAGACAGGCAGATAGGAAGGCAGACTGGTAGGAAAGGAAAGGGGAAAGGAAAGGAAAGGAAAGGAAAGG